AATTCGGGTTCGGTTTGGGTTTTATTCTTCCTTCTTTTTTTAAGACTGTTTAGGTCAGAATACACTAAAAATATATAATCAATTGTCTTGATCATACTGGTAAACTCAGATTTGATCACATTTCTTCCGCAACAATATGTTGCTGGTGAGCTGGGCAGTTGCATGGTGTCGTTGTGAAGCTATTTTCGAATAAGATGTGATTATATTTCCTATGATTTTCTAGAATTCGTTATATCTTCTATTTTGTCGTGAGGTGGCTTGCACACCCACTAACAGAATAGGTCCATCTCATTCATAAGACATTCTGTGCCTCTCGTAGTTTGTCTGTATGCTCAAGACATGCCAAAATTTTAGTTGCTTGCCAGGTAGGAGCTCATGTTCGGTATTGGCCTTGTATCGGCCACTTCGTCCTCCAGCTTTTGCGCTGAGGGTAGGCCCGCACATGCTCGGCATTAATCTTCCTCGTGGAAATCATGCCGATGCACCCTCCCCAACTTTCTTGAACAATATAATTCCTCGACCAATCAACTAAAATGAGATTTTCGACTTAAAAAGCAACGAAGATCGCGACTAACCCTGGGAATGTTATTGTCATTAATAGCAATAAGCGGTAATAAAACCTATGGACGCATGTCGGTTTTATGCCAAGGTTGTAGAAATAAAAAGTGAAGTCACAAGAAAGCTGGTGAAGGTTAAATATTTTGGACAAAACCCCAAGACTGGGGGAGGGGGGGGGGGGGAGGACAACACAGCTTAAATTTATTGGACAGAATAGCGTGGTTTTCTAGGGTACAGGTTCCCCGAAAACTAAAAGGAAGGAAAAAGACAGGGGATGGTCCTCTTTTTCCCGAACGCACAAAAGAGGGAGGACATCGACCAATAGCACACCGTACTGTTCTAACTCAAACAAAAATGGGGGGAGGAGGAAGATCTCTGAGCCCATCTCGGTAAAATCCTAATACACATCACCAAAAAAAAAAAAAAGGGGGGGGGGGGGGCTGCGAGAGGGTGACTCATTAGGGGAAAGATCGAGCATGGACAAAGGCGAACAACCCCCGACATTCGTCAGATAAACAGCTAAAATCTCCCTCCAGTTTGTGCTGGAGTATGACAAAACGGAAGTCAAACCGCTCCTGCTTTTCAAAAATTGCCACTGGAAAAATATCAAGGCGGGCATAGTCAGGAATAGAGTAGATGGTGCACTTAAAAAATCTTGTTCGCATTCCATTGGTTCTGCGCTACAACGCCTTTTTAACTGTTTCAGCTTGGCAGGTTTTTCCTGAGGATTATGTGTTCAGACAGTTGTTGTACCGGGTAAATATGAGAGAAATGTTCAAAGGTTTGTGAATCTGCCACGCGTGTTGTATTCCCTTTCTTCCATCGTATTCCTCATCATCTAAAATAGGCCGGCAACCGCTACGGCATTAGCACTGTGTTCAAAAATGATTTCAAACTAAGTCGGTTCACCCCGTTCAACTCGGCCAGAACTGGATGATCCGAAAACATAGAGAAAAAGATGTTGATTGTGTGTCGGGCGTAGTTTATAAGATTCCTTTTGCCTGTGGGTTAAGTTACATTGGACAAACGAAGTGGTGTTTGAATGATCGTCCAACTGAACACAAATGTTGTCTTAGAAGCAAAGATCAGTATTCAGATTTGTCAAAACATGTGTTAGAATGTAGTAATTGTGTACCTCTATGGAATTCCACATCGATTCTGTTGACCGAGAGAGATTATCATAAAGGCTTGGTAAAAGAGTCTCTCACTATTTTTAGTCACAAAATGCAGCCAATAGGTCATCTTTTAATTTTTTACATAGAGTTGAAAAGATTTCTATAAATTTGATTGTTTGGAGGTCACCTTTATATCTGTGTAGGGTGTTGTTTGTTCGGGTTTATATTTCAGCCCTGTCCCCTTGTTTCGGGTGTGACGAATGTGGGGGGTTGTTCGCCTTTGTCCATGTTTGATCTTTCCCCTAATGGGTCATCATCCCGCAGCCCTTCCTTTTGTGATGTGTATCAGGACCTCACCGAGGGTGGTTAAGAGATCTTCCCCCTCCCCGCATTTGTTAGACTTAGGACAGAACCGATGTGCTATCGGTCAATGCCCTCCCTCTCTTGTGCATTCGGGAAAAAGAAGTTCATCATCTCTTTTTTTCCTACCTTTTGGTTTTCGGGGCACCTGTATTCTATAAAACCACGATATTTTGTTCATTAAAGTTCAGCTGTGATTGAAACTTTGTGTTGTGTTGTCCTTTTTCCACCCCAGTCTCAGGGCTTTGTCTAATATTCGGCACAAAGATTTTTTTTTTTGCATTGAGTTTTTGGGCCACATTCTCATAATTGTAATGTTTTGCTTTGCATTACAAAATATCCTAATTTTCTCGAGCCCTGTAATTGCAAGCGTGTCATAAAATGGAACTCAGTTATGTGTGATATTTTATATGAATGTTTTTTTTTCATAGAATGTCCCAGAAAGGTGGCCATGATCTTTGTACGGAAAAAATCATGTCTGATCATGCTTATTGAATATTCGTCAACAATAACGACGGCAACTAAGCACTACTATACGTAACAGGCACGTAGCCAGGTTTTTGTTTCGGGAAGGGGGGGGGGGGGGGGGGAGAGGAGGCCTCAGCAAAATAGAAGGTTGCGGGAGGGGGGAGGGCCCCATGGGCACCCCCTCCCTGGATACTTGACTGGTCCGTAATACACTTCAAAACTACTATACCTTGTAATATGCATAGTACATTAAAATTGATTAGACTCGCCTGCAAACAAACTAGGTATTAACAAATAAACAAACAAAAATATGCCATTTTTTTAAGAAGGGAAACCCTCCAATATGAATATTTTTATTGATGAGTTTTGGCATATCGCTGCCAGTGACTATTAGATGTGTCGGTGTATGGGTAATCGTACTTACTACATGATCACCCCTTTAAAATGACCAACGCAAGTTTTCTTCGAAACAAAACACAAGACCTAGAATGCGCAGACTTGAAGTAGCAAATTTTCCGAGCAAACCGTGAAGTTAACATTACAGGGGCCATAAATATTTAATTATATTATAAAAATTGTGACATTTATTTTTTAGCACAAATGACAAATAAATAAAAAAACACATCGTTACCTGTTTTAGTAATAATAATAATCATTAGATTACAGTGGTGCAAACATAATGTAAAATACCTTGATTGAATAACGAGCAGATGCAATGTTGCCTGGCTTGCAGTTATTGTCTTGGGTAAGCAAAAACTCAGAAATGACGCTCAATTCTTGGTATCTATATAATGCCACTGTAATAATTTTCCGGAGCAGCACCTGAGTGGGTGAACGCGTGAAAAAGCACTGCTCGGCTAGTGTGACTATCAACGTTTATCCTACTAACTAACATTTGTTTGATGGTCTTAATTCGACTGTAATAGTAGTAGTAAGCGATTTCTGTTTGCCAAGCATGAGTTAAACTGAACGGGAGACCCGACCCCTAGGGCCGCCCCGCCAGCCACCCCTCAGACGGCGGCCTAAACTCCCCAGATCTTGGCGGCGTCTTCGGCCAGCTAAACTAGTTGGTTCTGAACCGAAAGGTCGGCGCAGAGGAGTAGGGCTTCGCGGCTCTCCTGGATGTCGATCTCCTTGAGTAGCGGGTGGGACTTGCGGTCGATCCTGCTGCACTCCTACACCACGTGTCGGTGGTTGACGTGGCCGCCGCTGAGCTTGCAATTTGGCTTGTACTTGTCGGGGTACCGTTTATAGACCAGGGGCCCTAAACTCGTCAAACACAAAGTTGGAGCCGAAAGTTCGCAGAGCGCGCTGATTGAACGTTGGCGAAAAAAGTGCGAAGTCATCGTCGTGATGGACCAATCGGTGCGCTCCGTCAACTTCGGCCCCAACTTTGTGTTTGACGAGTTTAGAGGCCCAGAGAGTTAATTCGATAGTTTTAACTAAATATGTGTTTAGAATTTAACTAATATATTTAACTCAAATATTGAATTAATTCTGTAAGCAAAAAATAAATTCGTTTTGTCGCACTGCGGGGAAAGCACAGCTGAGCGGATATGTAGAAGTAGCTTTGCGCCGTAGCAGGTATCTCGACATTTGTGGCAGCTATCTCTCTGCCGGGATTCCTATTTCAAGTTTCTCTTTTTACATTAGGTAGCGGGCAGTCAGGCCACTAGCGCCTGCTAAATTAATGTGAATCTGTTTGTAAAAAGGCTAACTGATATTGGTTCAGTTCAAAACACGTCCATCGGTGTTAGACGAGCTAATTTTATCAGTTATCACTTATTAACCGTTAAGCCTATTGAGGCGTTTTAAATTCTGTGCGCAGCACAAGTTTGTCTGCTTCTTGCGCAGGCGTAGCGGCGACGTCAAAATGCCGATTTCTGACTGGCTCTGACTGGGAGGATAGTGGGTAGACCTCAATACTAGCTGCCATGAGGTCTACCCAATATCCTTCCAATCGAGCAAATCAGAGCTCGGCGTTCTGACGTCAACGCAACTCCTGCCAAGAAGCAAACGGACTTGCGCTCCGAATTAAAGTACAAGAACGCAAAATATCTTGTCTGTTTAGGTAAAGCGCCAATTAGTGTTTCCATTTACCACTGTATGTAATATGAAATGGGTTTGTGTAATATGTTTTGTTTTAACATAGAAACCTTCGAGTAAGGAAAAGAATGGGTGCGGACAAGCACGCCGCTCTAATGTTTGAAACGCCAACAGTAGAGCGAGGAGGTAATTTTTTTTTTTACTATACAAACACAAAATGGTTTAGTTTAGAAGTAATATTTAATGCTATGCTTCATTCGTAAAACTATCAAAGACATGCAGTGCCATTGCCAGGTCAGGCTTTTGGTTGCGTGTTCTACGCCAACCTCGCTGAACTTTGTTAGTCGACGACACGTAACCTTAAAAAAAAAAAGCAGAGAAATATTTCCAACTTTAAGCCAAGTTCTGGTGGGGAAACAATTAGGGTCTTAAAATTTGGACACAGTTTATTTTCTAGGTGCTCCAGCTTAGCGTCCATATATTCGTGTTCCTTCTTTCAATATAGACAACAGCGAGGAAGAGGGCCGAAGCTGCCAGCTGTATTCCTCCGTGAAACATGTACAGCCCGTCGTAAGTTCCATGGATATCTCGAAAGAAACCTTGAACGGAAATCAATCAATTCATTGTGAGCAATCTTCTGACAGAGAGGTCTCTCAGTTGTTTTGTCACGCCACCCGTTATTTGACGCCAAAAACACAAAAACAAACAAAAAAAGCTTATTATTTTTACATAATAAATTTTAGAGAAGCACAGATTATTCAGTTGCAGGAGCCTTCTGTTGTTTCGTTTTTACTTTCTACACCTCTCAGTAGAACCGCAGCTCCCGGCTGCGGCTCAAGCAGGAGAATGGCGCGTTCAGTATCAAAATATTTAATTAAAACATGCACCTATATATGGACCGTGTTGGCCTAGAAAATAGAGGTATAACCAGGAATGAATAAAAATCAAGTACGCTCAAAAAAGCCTAACATTTGGTTTTACTCAATTGACTAAAATACTCCACCAAGTATAGAGGTACCGGAGGTTTGAGCAGCAGTCAAGGAACTTCGCGTGCAATAACCACTGCATATTTAGATATCCAGCCAAATTTACAATAAAAGAAACCTAAACAGACCCGCCAAACACAAAAATGGCCTGAAAATTGAAGAACGTTGATTTGGTTGCTTCATTTGAATCGTATATATTTTATTGCATTTTCTTTTCAATGTTCTTGAAAGAGAAACCTAATGATCAATAAATAAAATAAAGGCTAGAAGCATTGTTCAATTTCAAGCTACCATTCAAGTCATTAAAAGGCTGTAGAGACTATGCACTCAAAGACGTTATAGTCATAAAAAGGTGTGTATCAATCCTATATAAACGCGGCTCTATGTTTATACTAAAACAAAAACACGTTGAAACTGTATCTAGATAATCGCAAGAAATTGCAAGGATGCAAACAACGAACTCTCTGTCGATACAAGTCTACCTCACGTCCTAAGTAAGCAGTTCTATTTACCTGTTATTGATGGACTGCAGAAAGCGAGAGGCAGTAAGACCAACCCTGAGATCCCGTAGCACGTTGAGATCCATTGAACACCGATGTAGTCTGCCATGAGGACGCTCCTCATAGATTGCAGACATCCGTAAACGAGGTACACGCATAAGGAAAGAAGAATTATGTGCACACGAAGCGTAGCATAGGGCATCGCAATCACTGAACATCCCCAAATAAAAAAGCTCGCCATAACTAAGGTACTACGTCGAAAGCATCTCGCGTCCGCCATAAGGGGAAGGAGCAGCCGCCCAATGAGTTGGCTGCAAGACCCGTAGATGATGAGGGATTCTGCATCTTCAATCAACAAACCTTTATCTAGTGCGTAGTCAACCAGAGTGGTGACAAACGCAGCTCCTGTAAAGTCTGTCACCACGGCCAGTGTAACAACGACGAAGAGCATGGGTTTGAGTAACAACCTCAGTTCCTGACGATGTTTCTTGACTTGATTTGCGGCAAGGGTCGCTGAAGCATTTTGGAGTTGTTGAGAAGCAGACGAATTATTTTGTATATTCAACGAAGATTCCTCAGTTGCATTCCGCGAACCGTCCTTGTTTTTCTTCAAAGAAATCCACGGTGGTTCCCTCACAAAAAGACCGATTGCCGAAAGGTGCATAGTGACACCTCCGTAGATGAGAAGCGCACCACGGAAACCGTATTCCTCTTGTAAGTAGGGGAGGAACTTGGGAAAAACAAGACCAGCCAATGATCCTCCAGCATACTTCATTCCCGAAGATAAGCCTCTGTACTTGTCAAAATACATCGCTAGGATTATACTATACGTCAGTAAGGTAAGACCAAATCCAAGACCTAGAATAGAGCAGAAAAGAAAAGTGAAAGGATAGCATAAGTTACAGTTTCACAGAAGGCCTTCCGAAACAGTTCATTCAGCTTGTACTTTGCTTAGTTGCACGGTCAATCTCAAGGGTTCTGGGAAGGGGTGAATACATCAAAAGCTTGAGCGCGTGGTTTTTAACAAGCCTGCTTTTGTGCGAGGACATCTACTCCTGCAAAATTTGTGACCGTCCAGCATTCAAAATAAGATCGTGGAAAGCCCCAACGTGATTGACAGCTACCCTTAAGGCAAACATTAATCACGAAACCTCCTGATGTGCCTAAATATGTTCGCCCGCTACGTATCTAGTCAGCAAAGTCATTTGAGTTGCTTTCTTTAAGTTAACTGATACTGTAAATACAACATTTATGCCCAGAAACATTGTAGTTCCTCATTATGACCTAGTTTCACCAAAATATCGTTTCACAAACACGACAACTACAACTTGTAACAAAATTAAATTTGCCTGGGCGACACCGAATGCCAACACGGGTGCCTTACACTCTAGAATATGGCTCTTGTAACGAAAAAGCCTTCAGTATTATATATTTTAGTACAGTTGTCCCTCCTTTCCCATGACAGGACTAAATTTTTTGGGGATAAATTTCGAAACGATATGTTAACCTCCATTTAGTAACCAACTAAGAAACGCTTTAATTATTTCGACTAATTTACAGGTGAACTTTTTCAAGTGAGCGTGCTTGAATTCTAGTTTTCTGTTGTGGTGCTAAATACAAAAAAGGAAATGGTGATAAAAAACAGATTTACAACACAGATAGTATAAATAATACAATGATTAATATACCCATTTGACATACAGATATCAAGCTAGGGAGAAAATTGAATCAAATTCGTAACCAAAAGTTCACAGAGGGTCGGCCGGCACACCATATGCAATCACATTTAATGGAATATTGAATAGAGTTGTATTTCAGTGAAGTCAGAGATATCATATTTTTTTTGTTTATCTACGCGGTGGTGCCACCATTTCCGTAAAATATATTTCTAGGCTCTACGATTTGGTGTGATTTCTCGCATTAATTTCAGGTAGCAGGAAGGCTTGAAAGACAAGAAGATTTATGTAAATAATTGAGGGAGCAAGCCAACTACTGTGGAAGCTCGATCACATGAGCAGTTTACACAATCAAAAAGTCAAAGTTTATTATTTCTAATTGTATATAATTGTTCCTATCAAGTTCGATAGAAAATTAAGCAAGTGTTGCACCAACATGGTTAATGCTCATTTTGAAGTGATTTTGAATTTGTACCACTAATGCACGCCACCCGTCAGTTATAGGACACAAACATTTTGGAGGAACAATATTATAATCAAAGCACTGGGGAATCAGAAGTTATGAATATTTTCACAAAATCCAAAATGCTTTGTCACAGTATAGATCCCTAGTTTAATCTCGCCTGAATTCCTTGTTTTAGGACGTTAGATAGCCTTCAAAAACAAGGCAAAATGCCAGAAGATTTTTATTACGAAGACGGACGTATCTTTACCATGAATGGCGCCGAAGGTCACAATCATCCATGCCATGGAGGGAACAAATGCGGATGCGACGATTCCAGACCAGGTTAAGAGCGCTCCCAGTAAAAGTATCGTGAAGATTGATACTCTCCCTTGGACCAGTGCCACCAAAAGAGCTACAAAACAAAAATACTGATCACATTATTTGCTTATGTATAATTGAGCTTACAATTTATACTAACCTTCCCAGTTAGTATTGTAGAGGTGAGGTGCGTGAGTTTAAAGACACACCACGGAAGCAAAGGTTTGAAAATTCACTAATTACGCGAGTAATTAACTAATTGTTGCAGATATTGTAGCCTTGCCAACCGTAAGGGTGCATAGGGCACACCTTGTCGGATGTAATGTGGAGTTTCTCATACTTATACGGTAGGTTGGATTAAAATAAATGTTTAAGAAATATTTTAAATAATTTAAAAGAAACATGTAAGATTACGAATATATAATTCACATAAATATGTCTACAATTCTCTGTAATGCAGACTCAGAGCTCAGCTCTTGAGAAGGAGGAGGGGGTACGGAGGGGAGGGAAGGGTACCGAGGGGAATTAACCGGGAAATTGTAGAATGATTTCCTGGTAAATATAGCGGCGAAATTTCCCCGTTAAATTTAGCGGGGAAATTTTCCCTCTTGGCTTATCGAGAAAATTTTCCGCTCAATCTAGCGGAAAAGATTGCCGGAGATATTTACCAGCTGAATTTTGCAGAAAACGTTTCCCACTAAATTTGACAGAAGAATTTCCACGCTAGATTTAACGGAAAAATGTTCCCGCTTGAAGTGGTCATGAAATGATTTTTCAACTTTTTGCTTCTCAGCTTTCTTCCTCAACTCACAAATCACGCTTCGTACCAAATAGTTCAAGAAGTCGGAAAGGAAAGATTCCCCTCTTTCGCGGACCCTCGTTTGTGTACCCGGACACCACCAAATCCCCCTAGAAGATTAGTCCGTCACTCAAAACTCGGACAAAAATTGCTTTCTCCGCCACGTTCACCCCTAAGCGGGAATAACTAAGGTTCGGTCTCGAGTGACGTGTGTCTGGGCCGGGTGACGGGCTTTGGGGTACCGCGGATGTATCACAGTGAAAAGGCAGAGAGCTTTCGAGGGAAAGAGGTGCGAAATGGACCGCTGTGTATTCAAAATTTCGTAGCAGAAATCAGGCTTTTGTCTTTCTACTTTCTTCCTTTTGGCCCACTAAACGATATGTTCTAAGTGAAATCCCTATCTAAATACATTTATCCCAGCCCGAAATTCGTTTCATGGCCCCTTCACCTTAGCGAAAAATGTTCGGCTAAATTTAGCTGGTAATTTTTCCTGCTAAACTTAGCGTAAATGATCGGCGGAGAAATTTCCCCTCTAAATTTAGCGGAAAAAATTGCCCGCTAAATTTCGTGGAAATTTTCCCTGCTAAATTAAGCGAAAAAAGTTCCCTTCTAAATTTAGTAATGAAACTTTTTGCTAAGCGTAGGAGCCATGTGACGTCACTTGTGACCCTCGTGACTTTATGTGTGACGTCAATATGGGAAACGTCCCATGATGCAACGCGCGGTTACGGCGACGGCGACGTCGCTCAAACCGGAAACGGGCGACTGAGAGCGGCGCTCTAAAATCAGAAGCTCTCTCATCAGAACCTTCAAAACTAAGTAAAAATATTAAAAACTGAGCCTGTTGGTAAGGGTCATATACACATGAAGTCATCAATAAATGCGACGGAAAACCGAACACAGCGTCATTTAACTAGCAACGAACAAGCATGAAAAACAACCGCCTCCGAAAAGGCGCAAACAAATCTTGGAAGGAAAGGAAAGAAAAAGATGAATGACGTTTACGCTTCTCTGTAATGCGGAATTAGAGTGCAACTCTTGAGGAGAAGGAGGGGCGGTTCGAAGAGGAGGGTCACGTGTGAAGCCATGAGGGTAAAATTTCCCGCTAAATTTTTGCGGGGAAATGTTTTCGCTACATTTAGCGGGAAAAATTTTACGCCAAAATTAGCGGGAAAATTTTGCCTCCTGGCGTCACCTTTGACGTCATGTGTGACGTTATTATGGGACACGTCCCATAACGCAACGCGCAGTTTCGCCGACGGCGACGGCGTAGCCGCTCAAGCCGGAAACGGGCGTCGAAGGACTGCGCTCTAAGATTGGTGCAGAAAAGGAAAATGCAAAAAGGCAAGGAAGAAAATACAAAAAAAAAATTGTGCTTGGAAAGGGAGATTTCAAGCTTAAAACCCGAGCACCAGATCGATGTGTAAAAGTCTAGTAGACACAGGATTAACGAATACAACTTCTGTCTTTCTGAGTGAGCGTGATAGACTAGAAGTATTGCAGAATGACCTGGAGGCTCCAAAGACCTCCTGTGAATTATTTTGCCCACTTTTTGCTCAAGGCCGCATGTGTGATGATAGCACATCTTTTTTTCGCGATACCAGTATTCTAGGGGCAAAACACATTTTGTGAGAAAAAGAATTGACCCAGGTAGCACGCCAGAGAAACGCCTAACTTTGGCGAAAGAGTGGAAACCCTAAGAACCTTACTTGGGCCCAGTTAGGTTTTGCTCTATGGGGCTTGTCACTGCCAAAGTATGTTGCTTAAAGGGGCGATGCAACAATTTTTGTACTTCGCGCAAATACCGCTTAGAACAGATCCCTGACGTTAATGACCTATGAAACACGCGTTCGTTTTTCACTTCACGCAATAGAACTCCCAGAAAAAAATTAAAGAAAACGAGCAGCGTTCACCCCCTCAACTCGCAGCCAGAACAAGCGGCCACGCGATCTGGAGCCGATTATATGCCGCCAGTGTTGATCATAACCACGCGCTGGGGTTGGCAAAGCACAGGATACGCGCTGAGTTCCAGACATTGTTATGGCTGGGCTATTGTCGTCGCTGCAGCGATTGGACGCGGGCGACTACCCGAATGCTTCTCGAGCTAGTAATTATCACGAGCCCAAATCGAGTGCCCACGCAGGGCTCGGGTCCAATCTATGAACCGCATTCAAATATCGTCACTTGGGTGTTCTGCGATCCCCACGTTACGTCATCAAATTTTGCAAAGGAGAGATTGAACGAAAATAATTGCTTTTGTCCTTGAAATTTCACCGCAACAAAGGAGTTTCTTGGCCAGTGGCGTTGCGTGCGAGTATCCTTGAGTCCCACTAGTGCCAGTAAGCTCGTGTATAGTGAAAAACATTCCAACTGAATATCGTTGCACAGCTCCTTTAACTATAGTCCTTGTTGGGAAATACAAGGGCACTCGAAATATTGGCTTTCCTCTGGTCCGCCACATGAGTGCCAGAGTAAGCCAAAACTGCCAAAGTAAATCCTAATTTTAGGATTTGGGGCATGCCAAAGTTTGGCTTTTCTCTGGTCCGCCATGGGAGTGCCAAAGTAAGTGCCATACTTGAGCCAATACTGCCAAAGCAAATCCTTATTTGGGCATTCCGGACATGGCAAAGTTTGGCTTTCTCTAGTCTACTAGAGGAATCCCTAGGTTAGGGCAATACGTGAGCCACGTATGCCAATATAAATCCTAATTTGGGGATTCCGGACATGCCAAAGTTTGGCTTTTCTCTGGCTAGCCACTAAAAGTTCCAAATATTTGCCGAAAGGGCCAAAACAAACAACAAAGAAGCCTGCCGAAGTTAGATATTCTTTCGTTGTGCACAAAATCGCTGCTTCACAAACTCCAAGAGCAAAATTAAATTAAATAACCGTTCAAAACACGATGGTCAGATGTACGTCATCTTCGTTCTTCAGCTGCACGGCGATAATTGGCAATGTCGTGCCAGTACCTGCCGAAAATCGGTTGCAATATCGGCCAAATGTTCAGTTTTGCACCACCGCTAGATATCCGGCAGGTATTGGCGTACGGTCACTTCGCCACATGCTTAGTATTGGCGCAATATCAAATAAATACTTTACGGTCCGTCTGCTCCGTATCGGCCGGACGTGATGCAAGTCTGCTTTGTATGGCCATTGCATATCAATCACATATCAATCGTAACCAAAGTGGTTTTTGATCGCTCCCTGAAGTTTTTAAAACCACTATCATTATACACAGCTTATTCTCGCCAAAATCTACAAACGTGACATTTCTCTGTAAAGGGGAAAAATAATAAATAGTATTAACACTGTTTCATGCCGGGCAAAACAATTACGAAGGACTCTGGGAACTGAGAAATAAGGAGTACTATCAGAATCATGCTTGCAGTGTGCTTACCAATAAAAGAGCGATACCATGCAATCCATGATAAATGCCGACTCGACACTAACGCAGTGTCGAGAAAGAAGGTCGCCCTCACTTAACGAAGGTCTTGCGATTGCGGAAGACCAATTTCTTATCGAAGCGCGTTTACAAACACAGCACAAAAATTCCTTGGACTGCGAGGAAGAAAACGGCCATTACCGAAAAGTTTGCATGAACGTACTCCGACCATTTACGACGAAGAACCACGACTGCGACAACAACGCACAAGATCAACATAACACTTCAGAGCGCATTTCGGAAACCGGACCTACACATCTCCAGAACTTGGTAAAGGGCGAAGACTACGGCCCCAGTGATCTCAACAGCGCGTAAGAGGCAGTCACGCGACAATTTTTTTTTTCCAAGCGTTTTCGTCCTAGGCATCCTACTGAGAGAGGTCACGCGTATCGCTCCACTCCATTGATTTGCTTGAAGCAACCGTCGCACTCGCTCGGAGACTCAAGAAGACACAAAAGCAAATGGAGAGGCTTAACAAAAGGCGAAGTCGAAGTGAGATGGGTAATGTAGTTAATTGCTCCCTCTGCATATTTGACTGACTGATAGTATTGAAAGGAAATGGAAGACGAATGTTTGTTTCGCAGCCGAGCCTTGCAATGTAACGTTTACTTTGGGGTGAGGAAGGGAAGGGGGGTGACAGCAGGTAACAGGAAGGATTGCCTGGGTTAATGTCAAATACTTCAAGTGAACGATAAAACAATCGTCGCCGCTAGAATTTCATCTCAGTCCCTCCAAGGGGTAAGCGGGCGCGGTACCACATGTAG